CTACTGCTACTACTGCTACAACAACAACAACAACAACTACTACTACTACTACTACTACTACTGCTACTGCTCCTACGAGTAACAATCATAGTCGTGCTGTCTAAGCTTTGTCTAAACACCATCAGTATTACCCTATGGTACTGCCTCGGCTTTCTTTCAAGCACCTTCAGTAACACCATATTGGCATACTTCCACTACAGTGAGGCCGTCCGGGGCCGACGGTTTCTGTACGCTGGTAGGTGCTCTTCTCGCTCGGCGGGCGTATATCCGCAAGGTCTAGGGTTCAGGGTGGGGCAACCTTTGCATAAGGGTTCTGTACGGGTCGAGGTAACTTCTGGGTGTTACTTTCTGGAGTTTGCCAGTCGTGCCTCTGCGGGCATACTTTGACATCCATTCCGAGCATTGCAGAGGTCGAAGGAGCTGCTTGTCTCTTTCATGGTGATGTTGTTGGCTTTGTGTAACATGGCTGCTTGTTTTACTACTGCTACACTCCGAGTGGTTTTTGCTGATTAGTTTGTCGACAACCATATCTTTGAGACAAAGATCCAGTACCCCGAGGTTGTTTTGGCTGCTGTCGCATGAGGTTCATGCAGTGGTCCGAAGAATCAGTGAGAGTATGCCCGTAAAGTGCCTCTATTTGTGCTGTGCCTCTGTGTAACTAGTATGACTGTTAAATTATCTCATACTAGCATGTTCGACTCCTTTGTCTAATTAGTATGACTGTTACATTATCTCATATTAGCATGTTCGACTCTCGGATTTATGCTGTTTTCCCTAAACCCTAAACCCTAAACCCTAAACCCTAAACCCTAAACCCTAAACCCAAGCTCGAAGGCTCCGACCACCAGGGACGGGGAGCAGCAGACAGCGGCCAGGTGATGTGTTGAGCTCCCCGCCGCGAAAAAAAAAACCTGGAGACTCCAATGGTCCTTAATTAAGGAATAGACCTTAAATTATAGGGGCCTTAAAGGGATCTAGAAGGGTTTAGGGTTTAGGGTTTAGGGTTTAGGGTTTAGGGGCCCAGAGACTCCAAGGGTCCTTAATTAAGGAATATGCCTTAGGGTTCCTTAAGGGGCTCCTTTAAGGGATCTATAGGGATCCATAGGGTTTAGGGTAAGGAATAGACCTTAAAGCTTATTAGGGATCCTACTATAGTTTAAGGTATATTCCTTAATTAAGGGGTATTGGAGTCTCTGGGAAACTACAGATGCAAGCCTGTCGAAGGGTTTTTTTAAGTCAAAGGCGCAGCTGATCTTCGTAAATGAGGCTGCAGCTTTCTCCTGCATTGTGCCAAGCGGCCATTTCGGCAGAATCCTACACTTGTTCCTAGGAGTTACCGGAACGAAAGTGTGGGAATGCCGTTGCGTTATGGTCCGATTTACATTCTTCGCTTCACAACAGGGATTCGAGGGTTCTGAAACCGAAGGGACCCTAAGCCGTCCCAGACTCGACAGTTCACGCGCCCCGGCCTAGCGCCGAATTATTCTCGAATCCTTCTGGGCAGGACAGGTGTGTCGGGCTGAGCCCAGGCTCACCACTCTTCCCTCGTCCGAGCTCCTGTCTGCCCGGCACCATCTTATAAAGATGCTGACAGCGAAAACAGGGAAGCCTCAAGTTCAAACAGTTTTACTGCCTGGATCGGGACAGGGCCTGTTGCCTACGGCTTGTCTGTAAGCAAGGCGCAACGCAACAGTCACCTGAGCTCCGGTCGTTCAAAGTGTGCTTGATCCAGGCTAACTAAAGCTTCCGTCGCCGTTGAAACATGAGCGGCACAGTTCTCTAGAAAGGTGTCCGAGACCGAACATACCGATGAACGTGAAGCATTGAAACGTACTTCCTTACAGGCATGCGACCTGTTGAAATTTATGTCTTAACTAGGAGCCTTTTTGAGCTCCTGAGGCGCCAGCGCCTAAGGTGTGCATTCGCGTCCATGACCCCCCAGTTTCTCTCTGTTTCTCCTTATTCACATATGGGGGCTGTTGTGAAAGAGTGCTCCGTGTATGGAGCCAAGACGAATGGATTGCAAGCACAAGAGAGTGGCCAACAAGAACGGGTTTCATGCAGAAACTCTAAACCCCAAGCCCAAAACCATAAACCTTAAACCCTGAACCTTAAAACTAAACAGGTACACTCTTACGACGCCTGTCGCGATCGAAGAACAGCCCCTTTTTGTTTGCTTCGAGGACCAAGGGAGATATCACGGCAAGTAGGTTGTACATGGGGTGGCAAACTGGGTAGTGATAGTGCAGGTCGGGCTGTCTTTAATTTCAGTCGCTAGAAGTCTCTGCACCCCAAAACCCTAAAGCAATCTAAAGCCCTAAACACTAACTTACTTGCTACGTTCCTTGATCCTCCAAGCACCAATTCAGAATCTGGGACTTCCACTGTGACAGCAGGAAGGAAAACAAAGTGAAGTGCACCTACACAGCAGGGCTCCGTGGTTTGGGGACTCGGTGCTTAATGTAGGGGCTTTCACAATTACCTGCACTATTTTAGGGGTTCCTGATTATAAACCGTATTCTAATTATTAGGGCCCCTACAACAGGGGGTTTGTGTTAGGGTTGATGATTTCTGGTTTCGGGTTTAGGGTTTTTTCTGACTCTGCGGTTCTGGTTCCAGGTCTGGAGCTCAGCAGCTCAACCGTGCTTGTGGTTAAAACCCTGAAAAAGTCGTCCCTGGGGTTCCCTTGATATATTTATACCACATTTACCCTCCTTCAAACCATGATTGAAAAACTTGATCAGGGCCCCTTTTTCCTTAGGACCCTCTAACGGGTAGGATAAACCCTTTGTCTGTTTATCAAGGCTTCTATGTTACGGTTCCGGGTTTCTAGGGAGGGCGGTGCAGTTGGAAAGGTGTTTGCGGTTCCATATCTTGCGGGGTTTCGTTTGTTTTTGCATTCCGGTCTGGGATTTACTGGGATTTAGGGCTGCGGGTTTGGAATCCCACATACCTACGTGGTGCCTGGGAGAATTGGGACGTCGGGCTCCCTGTAGAATCCCCTTCATCGTCGCTGTAGTTTGCTCTGCAACCTCTTTAGTAAGGCTAGTATGGTTCTTGTATTCCGTGCGTTTTCAGGATTCAATGTTTGCGGTTCATAGTTTCGAGCTTTGGGCTCTCGATCATTTCCCGCCGTGCCATTTGGGCCCCGAATGCTCCCAGCCACGCTTGCACGAGACACCAGGAGAGGTCGCAACGGGGATTCTGCGCCTCTGCGCTTTCTTCTGGGGTCTGTGTGCGTGTGCCTGCGTAGAAGCCGCCGAGCAATGACGCCGATGTTGAAAGTCAAGAACACTTTCAT